CGGGGGCGGAGCTTTGCTTTAAAGGTGAAGTAAAGTTACAAAAAATTACAAATAACCGGGAGATAGGGATTTTTGCCAGTGTTCCAAAATCTTCCTCTCTCTTCCCCAGTAATTATTTATTTTCTGTGAATGGATATTGTGAATTGGTCTGATGTCGGGGACGATGTAACTCCTGTGCTCACGTGCAGGAGTTATATCATCAGTGGTTACCGAATGGCTGAAGATGATGGCTAGGAACCTGAAAGTGGTGGAGGCAGGGGACAGAGCAGGCAACTGAAGATCGATCCAGCAGAGCAATGCACAGCATACTCTTAATCCCTGAGACCAACACTAAACTAACATATGCCCTAATGGTAAACTAACCCCTTGCCCTGCACCAGCAGAAGCTGCATCTAAAGCTCACCTTTCTAGTGATAGCTTGCTCCAAAAGATATCAGTGCCAGGCTATCAGCAAGAATAAGTAATGATCTGCTTTGCAACATTCATTTGATACTGTCATCATTCAAAGAACATGCTCATGTGTGCTGATACATGTTATATCAACAATTCAAAAAACTGGAGTTGTGCATTAGTCATGCCATACACGTATCCTTTACAGCATAATGGCACAATGTACACCGTTGCTGCAAGGAAGAGTAGCCTGATGCCACTAGGCAGGGTGATTGTGAACTGACACTTCCAGCTGTTCAGCTTTCTGGTCTTCATAAAGGAATACTGACAGTTAATGTATTCTCCCTGAGGATGATTGTATCTGTTCTTCTACACATACTGTATCCTCATATGACTCCCACTGCTTGTAGTCTAATAATGTTACAGAATAATTCATAGCTTTGCAGAGCCTGTACAAATGGGGGGTCTTAAACTTATGAATGACATTTGCATTAGAAAAATGTGGAATAAATGAAGGTAATGTAGGCTTTCAGGCAGCCATGCACTATACAGGAGGAAAGTGGAGCTCCAAATTGTAGAAGAATGCAAAATAAATAGGAGGTAATTTGTGACAATAGCTGTTTATTCTAAAGTTGTAGCACAGTTCACAAATGCAGACAATGACAACACATAGAGCCTACAGTATTATAATCTACATATAGAACTGTAAATGTAAAAACTTTATTTCTGAATTTGATATTCCACTTAACACGTAAGTGACATGAAAACAATTTAGGCCCATCTTCACTGATATGTTGTTGGAAATATTAAACTGCTGACAAAGGAATAAGTGGGTCAATGGCTAGAAACAGCTTGTAGGCATAAATTCAGAACATCTGCCCATCGCAATTTGCATATTAACATGTTAATGCATTATAATTTCTGCCCATGAAAAGCATGTCCTGGCACTCTGACTTCACGGAAGAATCCTCCAATCTGCAGACAAGCAGCTGGGAGAGTAGGAGATGATCACCTCAACTCTACAACATTGCATCTTGGTGTTGAAGAGCCCCTTGCTTGTTTTGTTTAGGGGGTATTGGAATAAGCACAGTACTTCTCTTAATCCTCACTCTCCTGGCAGCCAGCACTCTCCTCTGGTCTCCAATTCTCCTGGGATGTAGATGGGCCCTCAGTGTCCCCACATGCAATGTAGGACCATTGATCCTGCATTGTATGTGATGACACTGAAAAGATGCAACCAGTCAGACAGCAAAGAGGAACAGCTTCCGGGCACCAGCAGTATACGAACAGACTGCACTATCCAGAGAATTCCAATACTGCAGACTTTATTGAAATTCACAGCAAATCCAGTGTATCAGTGAATACAAGTGTATAAAGCAACAAATGCCAGCACTGCACTGTCTTTGTTCTTGTTGGGGAGATTCTCCTAACTGTTCAAAGAAAGTGAGGAGAAGCTTTTCACAGGACACTGACAGAAATTATATCCACAGATTGGGAAAAGACTAGAACATCCATCAAGTTCTTATTTGTCTGTGCCACACAGGGGAGATTTTCTTCAACTTCCTAACCCAAAGACAGTGATCGCTGAAATCTCTCCAATGGGTTCAAAGGCAGCGATAAAACTCTGACAGATGTCCTAGTCCTTTTTCACTTTACCTAAAGCTCTAAAAATTCTGCTTTAAAATCTGTTTATTGTGGCACATAAAACTGCAGTGGGGATACTTCAATACATAAGTCTTAAGAGACACAAGAACCTGGCAGGTTATTCAAATTATTTGTGTTGATTCAGTTCTGGATAATCATCTATGTACCTGTAATGACCAACATAGCATGTATTGCAAAATGCATAACACATATATTCATGCTTGATGGTATTGCACTTCTTTTTGTTTCCACCAGCATGCTGACAAGACATCTTCAGCAGTAAGATAGTCATAATTTAAAAAAGCACTGTCATTTCTTTTGGAGGCATACCTACACTCAAATTTCATGGATGCCTGGTCCTCCTCCAAACTCTGTGGTGTCCTCCACTGGCCCCTACATTACCACAGAACACAACAGTTACGTAGGGTTTGGTGAATGAAACCACAGAATGAATTGGAGGACCACTGTCGGATGATGAAGATTCTTCAGCTACCATACCTCTTTAAGAAAGCAAAGATTGGTGGTGTAGGGAGCAGGACAGCTATTATCTGTTTTCTTTGCAAGTTGGCCATTTAATTTTACGGTAGCAGCAAAGTCACCCAAAATCAGGACTCTATGCAAACATTTACATTAACAGATTAAATACATATACAAGAGAGCTGCTTTACCTGACAAATGATTTGCATTTCTGTCCATTCTGCCCTGAGATTTACACAGCCCTATCAAGCAGCAGAGCTAGAAAGAGTGATGCAATTTCTACTGATTTGGTAATGGACCCATAGCTGCAATAATTTGTGTAATTTTATACTGTAGCTTGCTTGAATTCAGCTTTAATTTGAAGATGGATGCTCAACCGTTGTTGTGGTGATTACTGTGAAGCTGGCAGTCCAGGTCAGCTGCTCTCTACCCAAATATTAAAAACAAAATGTAAAGTAATGCCACAAAACACCTTTTTCTCTCCCAATGCCAAATAATTATTTTATCCTGAATAGGTTAATTTTCTACACCATTATCAGTAAATACAGTGTGCAAATTGGCATGGATCAGGTTGGAATTATTTCTGGAAGCTGAAGAGGTATTTTGTTGGCCAACAAACATGATAAGACAATGCCTATCACTTGCATTAATGCTAGCCCCAAAGCAACAGTTGCAATATAGAACATGTTGTCACTTACAAAGTCACAGACTTTCTTGAAACAGCCTTCCCTGTGGATTCCTGATGCTTCACTAAACAGAGAGATATTGCGGCATCCCTTACGTCTCTGGCAGCAGCTGCTGGGTACTGAACCATTTTTGTATCCCTGGTGATCATACTGTTGCTCCAAGGACCATGGTGATTCAAACCAGTCACGGTAACTATGGACACCACAGCATTGCAAGTTTCTTTGGATAGCATCTAGAGCATTAGCCTTCTCTTCATCTTCTGCATAGGAAAGAACTGCATTCCTCAGGCCACTCTGAAACCCATCTGCAATATCCCTGTTATAAGGCATGGAAAGATTAATGTGGAACAATCTTGGTCAGTGGTTTCTCTTCCCTAACATTATATACCAATCAAAGGTAATAATGAAAACCCAAAACAGTATTGTTTTAAACTACACAAAACATTCCAGGAGTCTTACAGGATTAAATGTGTTCACATTATATTTCACCAAAATTTCACCATGCAGAGAGTGGTGACTGCACTGATTTCCCCTTCTCCTCTCTGTTCCCCTAGCACTCATTGAGGGGACAGACAGGGAGGGGTGGGCCCAGCTGGCTCGAGAGAGAGAGAGAGGTAGAGTCACCTGTCAATCAGTCAGCGGGGTGGATCCCGCTAATATTGTTGGGATATTTCCCGCTGTCAGCAAATAGCAGGCTGTAGCCCGGTAGATGCTGAATTTGCGTCACAGAAGTACATTAGTAAATGTACTCCTGAGACCCAAAAGTGGACCAAAGCCCCAAAAAAGTTTGTCTCTAGTTCTCTTTTAAAGGCATCCAGAACTTCACAAATGGATTTTAAGACCCATGCCCTATATTAGGAATTCCATCTTTTTTGGCTTGCTGAAGTAAAAACAATTTGTGTTCACATTTGTTTGACAATTCAGTCTGTGTAATTATCTACTGGTTATGAAGAATAATATGCCCCCTCAGTCTTCAACACAGCAGATTTAGCAGTAAGTGCATGTGCTGTTGCATTGTTTCTGATTATGCATATTAAAGCCATACAGGGTCCTTAGCTTGATTATTGGCCAGGACACTATCTGCATGGAGTTTGCATGTTCTCCCTGTGCTTGTGTGGGTTTCATCTGTATACTCTGATTTCCTCCCACATTCTGAAGACATGCTGGTAGGTTAATTGGCTCCTGTCTAAATGTCTATGTGTGTACAAATCGGATGTGCATGTGGGGGTTGAGACAAGACCTGGTGACTTACCTTGCAAAGAATAAATCAACAAGAAAATTCTGTGGACAAAAACTCTCAAGCATATCAGACATGGAGCATTGGGAGCTTGCCCATTGAATTGCAGAGTCCAATATGACTGTACACACACTCAGCCATACAGAACCTTCAGAGGGTGGCCTATATAGCTCACCAATCTGTGTACTCTTGTCAAAACCAGTGGATATAGCTTGTTGTCAGTTGCTTATAACCATAGGGACGTGTGGTAGAAATTCACTTTGCAAACAATACCCAAACACATTCAAGGAAAATACAAAAAAAAAAAAACTTTTTACTTGCACATTATTGGATGATGGAAGTCGGCAGAGCTTCACCTTTTTCATTAAGCTAAGGGAAAATTACCTTGCAAAGTGAAGAACCTATTTGCCTTTACTAAATCAATCCCTATGTATCACAGACAATCCTGCCTACTTTTGAATTGAAGATGTTCCCACCTACATTTTGGCCTTCCCACTTCTCCTGTTGTATTATCCGTAATAAAACTCTAATAAAAAAATATTGAAAGAAGGGATGATGTCTGTGAGAGTGCCTAAAGGTTTAGATCAGAATCTGCCACCACAATAAAATTTTCTATGACTCTTTCTACAAAAAAGTATTTCTACAAATTTCAAATGCCCTGGACATAATATTATCAATAAAGATCAAGACTTACCATTATTCCTCATGGAACCATGGAGATCTGTTGAAAATTTCAAACCTAACACTCTACTTTGTAAAATAATTCTTTATTTCATTAATTTGTTCTCCTTAAACTGTCCAATTGTGTTAATGCTAAAAGAGATGATAAAATCTCCATGGACCAGGTAATCATAGATCTAGCTGTAGAACATACTACAAATCTGATTCTCCAAGGACAAAGAAACATTATTGACATATCCTTAATGAACTTGTCCTGCCCAGATATTTGATGTGTTTGCACCATATACTGTATATGGTACCTGTAAAGAAAAACTGTTTGCAGTGCAATTTATTAATACTGCTTTATTTTTGCTGTGCACCCGGAAAAAACTTTGTCTTGTTTGTTGGCAGGCTTTAGAATGCCAGTGGCATATTAAAAATATGAGATGGTGGAAGCAAGGACAACAAAACAATGTCAAAGTATATGGTGCTTATAAGCAACACAGATGTATTACATGGATTATAAGAGACTTAGTAAAAGTTTTATAAAAGTAGCTGGTGTGGATGAGTTGTATCCTCTCATTTGTTAAATGTGCATGTAACAAACGTGCACATTTCAATCAGAATGCATTTTCTAAATGTGTGTAATTTAGTGAGCCCTAATCTGTCACATTTAAAGCTGTGGGACAGTGTGGGAAAATTACAATCTCTTAGTGCTGTAAAACAAATGTGAGTGAATTCATCAAGCATTCATGATGGTTCTGGAGTGGTAATGTCACCGGCAGTGGGGCTGGATGTATTTAGCACGCTGTCTTCTTTTGATTTTGTATACATTGGGACAGGACAATACTTTACATTATGTGTGGAAGGGAGGCATGAGAAAACAGCATGCCATGCTTCTAAGAACTGTTAGTTTGTATTTGATGGGTAGACTGGTCCATCCAGCCTCTCTCCCCCTCCGCTGCAGCAGTCTAAGGTGCCTTATATCATCACGTTCTGTACACTGTGTATAGACATGAGGACGCTCAGGAATGTTTCAGTGCTGTAGCATAGAAAAAGACAGGCTTCAGAGACCGGTGAAGCAAGGAGCTAGCTCAGTGGTTCATTTGAGAATAAAAAATGTTTTAACACCTAGACAAAAATGAGCAGTTAACCCTTGCAGTGCAGGGGTAGCCCCGCTGCAGAGGTTAATCAAAGTTTTGCCCCAAGTTCTTCTTTAAAATGTGCACTGCTAAAGATCATGCTGACAGAAGGAGAGAGTAGAGGAATGTATCATCAGTCTGTTTGCTCCTTCACTGTCCAATCACTACGGGCAGGGTGATGGCCTAGGTATGCTGCTTAACCTCTTGCCGTCCGCCCGTTAAGAAAAAACGGACGGACGGCAGACTCGCATCCGTGGGTTGCCGTCGACAGACGGCATTTTTCACTTTGCAGCATAATAGTGTGTCCGCCCCCCCACTTGCCCTCACTCACTGTGCCGGAGGGAGCAGCGACGAGTCAGCGCTGGTCCAGTGGGAGGAGCACCAGATTGCCTGAGGTTCAGCTTTAATCTAAACTGTCTGTCAATTTAGCTATAAAATTTGCAGGAGAGGCATATTCAAAATGTCCCGTCCCCCCCCACTTTGTTCTTGTAATCACATATTGAATGGCAGTGTCAAAAATATGTTCATGATTCTGTTATTAATTTAGAGTGTAACTAATCATGAAAATAAAACCTCCTGCAAAGTAAACATATATAGTAAGTGTTGTATGGTGAAACATGAAAATCAGCTGCCTACTTGTCTAACATTAGTATGTAGTGAAGAAGATGAGAGAGTGATAAAATAGATTACCTGCGGTAGAACAAGCTCGAGAGTCCAGCAGCAAGTCCAGCCAGCAGCACTGCCAGCTGGAAAAACCCATAGATGCGTAAAAGGCACCTCTTCTCTACTGCAGCACTGAAGCAGCCAAGAAAGCCCCAAAGCAGTACAGCAGGTCCACTCACCAGCAAAATGAGTGGCGTGTTTGGATAACTGTTGGTAGACAAAACCAAATATTGCTCCAAGGAGATTTTTGCCCATATCCCCACTGTGAGCATAGCTAGACCTGCAATCCAAAAGATGAAACTGAAAGCCATGAGGGAGAGCTTTAAAAAAGCCATTCTACGTCGTGTGTACCTATTCCTGTGCTGAAAACTGTATTTGGGCATAACCAAGGATCGAAAAAGGATGTCATCTTTATCTTGTAACTCTGCTGCTACAGTCTGCTGTGACACAAAGTGCTGCACTACTTCCCCCTCATCTTGGGGAAATTCAGGCAGGACCCACACACCAGTGGGGTGGCTTCTATGTGGATGTCCTGCCACAACGGAGATCCTCCGGTCCCCCTGTAGTTCCAAAATGTCATTTCTCCCTGCAGAGTATTTCCTTGGATGTACCTTCTCTGCTGTGCCATCAGCCATGGTCTCTTGCCTCTGCTAGATTTTACAGCCTCCCCCTCTGATCACCTCTCTAGAAAGCCAATACATTTATTTTAGCTCAGCAATAAATGTCAGATTGTGAGCTCTTACGTAGAAGAGCTTCTTTCTGCTCCTGTTTTACCAGATAAGCCTGTTACTGTTATTTTGGTCTCATGATTTCTATATCGTCAGATGTAAAGGATAGAAATAAAAGTTCAAACTAAATCATCAGAAATGCAATGAACCCTGTAAGGTATCAATAGTCCACACATTCTTGCAAGCATTGTTATGACTGCCGACCTTTCACTTTATGTACACTTATAAATAGAAAAGCAGTAAAATAAAGATGGCAGCATGCTGACTGTTCAATGTTTGTAATTTGTATAGTACCTAAAATAATGTATTAAAAGGGCCTACCTAAACAATCCATTTCATTTATATCCACTGATGCAAGTCCCCACACTGGTTGGTAAATCTAAATCAATTTGTACAGTCAAATTGTAAGATGTGGCTAGCTTACAAAATAAAAACTAAGCAATGACAGCCTCCTTGTTCCTCTCAGGAAAGGGTTCCATTGAAATGGATTCACTGTAATTATAGTGGGTATGTCATTTTGAAACAATATGTTAATTCAAAAGAAGTCAATTAGTGACACATAAATCTGTTGTCCTGAAGCACATGCTAGCTGATGACGTACAGCCGGAAAGCAGAACAAGACAACTACGATGGTTTGACAGATTTATCTCGTCTTTTATTCTCTTAGGAAATTCACAACCTGAGTCAGGTCAAAAAGAGAAATAAAGCAAAACAGAAGTAGCTCGGCAAACGAAAGAATAAAAAATGCAAAACTAAAAATTGAAAATCTAGGATCTGATCAATTCATCATGATGTTTAATTAATATGGTCAATGTGCAGATATTTTTGGGAAAGCAGAAGTGTGGTGAAACTTCCTGTCATGGCACAGGATTCATCCCATGGACTTCCGCACTGAACAGTACAGTATACAGTCTTGTTTTCTGCACATGCAGCACCTTGTGACCTCTCATGTACACGCACATGTTCTAAGGGAGGACTTCCTCCCGTAAGGGAGCACTTCCCAACTGACCACCAATGTGAGGGGGCACTTTTTTAACTGGCCACCATCGTAAGGGAGCACTTCCCAACTGACAACCAATGTAAGGGGGCACTTTATAACTGACCATCGTAAGGGAGCACTTCCCAACTGACAACCAATGTGAGGGGGCACTTTCTTACTGACCATCGTAAGGGAGCACTTCGCAACTGACCACCAATGTAAGGGGGCACTTTTTCACTCAACACCAATATAACAAGGCATTTCTCTACTGACCACCAATTTAAGGGCAGTTCTTTTCCACTGAACAGCAATGTAAGGAGACACTTTTCCACTGACCACAAATGTAAAAGTGTGCATCTCCAATGACCACCAAATCATCTCTGAATTCATGCCGACACTCGCCTTCCTTCTGGAGGGTGGCTACTTGTGTTCCCCATGGTCCCTGTGTGTAGCCACCACTCCAAGCTCACTCCTGTGATGGACTACAATCTCATGTTTGTATTGAGATTGTACTCCATCTTGGGAGTGAGCTTGGAGTGGTGGCTATTTTACAATACACACAGAGATCATGGGGAACAAAAGTAGCCACCCTCCAGAAGGAAGGACACTGTCAGCACCAATTCAGAGATGATTTGAGGATCTACAGCAAATAAACTATATTTTTGTTAATAGGGTATGTGAATGCATTTTTAAGATTTAACTCCTGAGTTTAGTGTCACTTTAAGAATCGGCCAAAATTTGTATTTGTATCGGGCCCGATTCCGATGCTAGCATCGGTATCGGGACATCCCTAGCTGTGATGATTTATTGAGTTTTGTATACAAGGGTCATATTTTGGAACAGTTAAGTCATATAATGACATATGCAAAATGGAAACTAGAGGTCGTTTTTTTTTTTTTTAAGACTATATGGTCTGAATTAGCGGGAAACTACAATCATCATTATCAACTTCTGTACAGTGGTTACTGTTGTAGCTTTAGCAAACAGACAGACCTTAATTCATCCTGGAAACAAAATCATGTCTTCAAATGTACCATATTGTATTATATTTAGCACAAAAGCATGTCTTTTTTTAAATATATGTATCTTAACCACTTGCCATCCATGGCCATGGATGGCAATGACTTCCGCATTCCTCTGTCACTCTCCAGTACGGAAGCCGGAGAGAAGCTGATGAAGCTTCTCTGGGGGTCCCCAGGTGACATTAGGGGTCCTGGAGACCAATGAGGTCTCCATAAAAAGGACCTGCCATGTGGATTGGCTATCACAGAGGGGATTTCTTAGCCCCCTATGTGATAGCAATAAAGTTAAGTTCAAAAAAATGAAAGCATAAAAAAGTCCCAAATAAACATTTTTTAAAATAACAAATTTTTTTAAAGTCCCCCGCCTCCCCCTATACACACGCAAACATGCATCGGGTGCGCCGACATGCGAAAACGACGATTCCGATGCACACTACATATCGCCGCGAACGTCGGAGTGGGAGCAATAGTTTTAGGGCCATCATTCACTGATAACACTAAACTGATGAGCGGTAAAAGCTTTTAAAGCGTCGCCTATGGCCAATTTTAAGACATGTTTGGTGTCTATTTACCCGATGTGACCCCATGTTTTATATTTTACCAAAATATTGGGTAATAATAAATGTTAAATAATTTAATATATGGGAAAGGTTTTTTTTCAAAATGTTCATAATTTCTCCTTAATATAGTAAAAAATAAATACCACCGAAAGAAAGCTCTATCTGTCCCCAAAAAATGGTATGAAATTTGTTTCAGTACAGTGTTGCATGACGGAATAAACGTCAGTCAAAGTACTGCAGCGCTGAAAGCTGAAAAATGGCCTGGAAAGGAAGGCGGTGAAACATCCTTGTCAGCAAGTGGCTAAAGAAGCTTGTGTTCAAACTTCATGTGACTGGTGACAAGCAACACAACGGTCAGGTGTGAACAGAGGCCATTGAAAACAACTTACAGGGAAAAGCTAGGAAACCTCTAGGTCTAGGGGTTTCCAATAATGGAGTCTTACAAAGAACATGTGTATCCAGCGCCTTCAAAATAAAAGGGGAAGTTATGAATCATTCACAAGACTGCCCGCAGTTTTATAACCCTATTGAAATTTCCGCAGCACTTTTTTTTTTACACAACTTTATTGCTATCATATAGGGGGCTAAGAAGTGATAGCCAATTTACATGACGGGTCCTCTTTATGGAGACATCAGGGGTCTCCAAGACCCCTAATGTCACCTGGGGACCCCCAGAGCAGCTGATGAAGCAGAGATCTGCATCATCAGCTTCTCTAGCTGGAGAGTGACACTGAATGCAGGAAGTGATGAAATATACATCACTTCCTGCATTCGGGAACGGAGAGGAGATCAAAGGGAGTTTGTGTGCCGAACTCCTGTCACAGATCAGCTGTGCCGGTCCCGGGCACACCGGATCTCGGGACCAGTAACAGCAGTGACGGCTGCTCCTATACATGCAATCACATTACTTGAACGGCCGGCCGTGAAGCAAAATTTGGAAAGTTGTGATTAACTCCATATGCATTGTGATACCTTGTGATTTACCTACAATATTATTTAATTACAAAATATGTGCATAGTGTATACTTTACCAAAAAATTGCCGCGAGGTACTAAAGTGTTCGGGTTTGGCTTGAAGAAAAGGTGGCAACCCTATCAAAGAGTCACATGACATCAGATAACATCAGCTGTAGCGGCATCATCACAGCGCTCCGCAAGTCCTTACATCTAGTCACGTGGCTGGAACGTCATCGCAGCACTAGAGCAAGCTGTGGTATCACCGCTGGCTACAGCTGCGGAAGGAGCTGCAGCAATCAGATCGTCTCATCACACGGCGCAGGTGACGCGCAGGGCGGTGACGTCTACTTCGGTTCCCCTGTCTACTACACCGGCTCTATTTCACTCCTGATTGGCTGCAAGTTCTGCTGACAACACTGTCTCTCACTGGAGGCTCCCTCTCTGCTGAGCATGTGCCACCAGGCATGCCGGGAATTGGAGTCCCACTCGCTGACGTGCCGCTGAATGCGTACGCGTGCTTTAGCTGTGTAGGGACTACAAGATCCGTGGACCAGTGCGTCTTCAGTTCCTGGCTTCCCTTCGGACTGATGACTAGTGCAGCATGTTGTACCGTGTTGTAGCTCCAGCTGAGTGCCTGTTCCGAGATCGCCTATACTCATAGCGGAAGAGTGTAGCTGGCAGACCCGAGCCTTCCCACGCTGTGCCTCTGCGTCCAGTGAGTGTTATGTGCATGGTTATCGTGTGTGCCAGTCACCTCTTCTTCACACTCTCCATATGGTTTACTGCTGTGCTCTATAGCTCGGGCCACAGGTGGTGTCCTCTCTGCCATCCATGCTGGGAGGTTTCCTCTCAGTTCTTGTATTTGTCATCAGCTGACCAACAGTTCACATAGAGATTAAGATGACCACCATTTTTAAAACTGCAGTGCTTGTCATCATGTTTTGCTGTTGGCTTTAAGTGAACATGTGCTGTGCTCATGCAGTACTTCTCCTTTAAAGAGGAATTTTACCCACCAATTGAATGTCTCCTGAAACAGTTACTTTTAGGGAATGTCTACTGTCAAGGTTGTCACTGCGCTTATTTCAGCTCTCAACCGAACTTTAAAGCCCTCAAATGGTTGGTGTCATAGCTGATCACATGTGCAACACTATGGTGGCTGCATTCCAAGCAGAGGCCAAGACAGTCCCTTCCTTCCTTGTAAAGGATAGAAAGTTGTAGAGAACGGTCTGTGTAAGCTCTCTCTTGAAAGCTTACCTATATTGGGGTGCTGATATGCGTTTAGGTTCCCCTGACACCAGCAGTATGCACTGCCACACTGTATGGTGTGTGCTGAAGAGGAGTGGCACAGTGCACTGATTTCAGTGTACCACACTGGTTGTTTTCTATTTAAAACTTATTGAACTGTGCCAAGGTGACATTTAATTCCATTCTACTCACCCCAGCGTGTTACAATGCGGTGTACCTTTCCCTTTGTCGATTCCTATAAAAGCCTTGTATTTGTTTTGCAGAATAAGGTGTTCTGTGAATTGATGAGGGGAGAGGAGTGGTGGGTATCCCCACGTCCATTCCCAGAGCTCCTTATTCTATGAAAAGAATTAAAGGCATTTTGTGAATGAACGTGAGGTGAAGGTGTGTATAGGACTGGAGCCATTTTACTGTCGTAGCTGCAGCTTTTTATCCCCACAGTGCCGTGAGTACGTTCTGGCATCAATGAAACTAAACCAGCATCGATCCAGATTTCGGATTGCCATAACTTGTGTTTGTATAGAGAACAAGGCAAAAAAAAATCAAATTTGCTTCAATGTTAAGTAGGGATGCACCGATACCTGTATCTTGTACTCATGCAAATGCCCCGAAAATAGCGCCGGGAGCGGTGCTTTAAATGTTTTTTTTTATTTAGAAGCGGGTGCCTGAGGTCCAGCGCTTGCTGGGGATCTCCCAGCAGCCTTGTGGGGACCTTTTGCGGTGCCTATTTACAGTGCCGGTCCAGCCACACATCTCCTCTATCCGGCTGCCCCCACCCGCAAGACGCTACACACAACCCAGGTGACTCGCCACACATAGCCCTGGCGACACACCACAAACACCCCTGGTCAGACCCCACACAGCCCTGGTGAGCAACACAGAGTATGTAGCTTCATATTATTCTGCATTGCTTTATTATGGATTGCTGAGATTTGTAGACCTCTCTAGCTGGTGGTATTCTGCATTGCTGTATAATGTATTGCTGGGATTTGTAGTCGCTCTACAACTTGGAGTCTGTGGCAAAACTACCTGGGGCGCAAAGTTTGAAGGGCTCTGGCACTTCATTACTGTCCAAAAATCATTCGTTTGATTTTAAGAAAAACTGTCACATGACACAAAGAAAAGGTATCTGTAATTTGGTATCGGCGAGTACTTGAGAAAAAGTATCGGTGCGCGTACTTGGTCTGGAAAAATGGTATCGGTGCATCCCAAATGTTAAGATTCTCTTGACTTCAGTGGAGAAGTGTAGATGGCTGTTCAGAGGCTGCATCTGATCTGCTTAGTGTTGCTTTTTTCAGGCACAGCATATCCTATTGAGGTGTGTTTTGAATTGCAGGTGAAGTGCAGCCTTTTCTTGTCAAACACTGTTTTTGCAATTGACCGCCTGTGTTTGATCAGCGCTGCACTTGAGAGCATCAACCTACATAAGCCCCTACATAAGCCCCAAGTACAGTCCTAGCAATTGGCTCCTTGAACCTGAAGAGTGGCACTTGGCCACCAACACTGCATTGTGGGTGGACCGATTGGAGAGGGAGTGAATAGAGGCAAAATATAATCTGGGGAGAGCAATAGTAAAAGGGAACCTTTACACCACCCCAGTGCTTGCCCTTCAATAGTATAAAAAGCAGTCTTAAAAAAAAAAAAGCTTATTTCCATTTATTTTATCTATTTTTTTTCTTTTACCCATGTTCAACCTACCACCCTGCCTGCATTCTCATCTAGTTGAGAATGATGTTTCAGTCTGCTCCTGGGATGCTGATATCTCCCAGGAGGTATTACTTTCCACCATTCTTAGAGCAACATGGTAAATAGAGGCAGTGCCGGTTCTCTAGCATGTGCAGACAGAGATCTCACGTTGTGTCTGTTTACATGTTGTTCTACAAATAGTGGAAAGCAATGCCTCCTGGGACATGTGACTTCAGTATCCCAGGATTTTTCACCATTCACAGTACATTGGTATCCCAGGACTTTCCACCATTGATAGAACAACATCTAAACAGATATAGCACCCGGTCTCTGTATGTGCAAGTGCGAGATCAGGTGCTGCGTCATTGGGGGCCCGCTGAAAAGACCAGTAAAAGACAGCCGCCTCCCCATATAATAGAAGATGGCAGTGCGGGACGAGGCCTGGAGCTCTGCATGCTAATATGAAATCCTCTTGCATTCATTAGTTAAACATATTTTGCTTTCACTTACAATTACGGTTTTTCCACTTCCTGGTCCCCTTGGGCATTAGTAATGAAATCTGTGCCCAAGCAATGCATCCTGGGAAGGTTACATCAGCAGAGCATTGCTGGGAAAACTCATCTGTCATCTCACAAGATCTTAGGGAAAGGCATTTTTCTCCACTGAGATGATGTACATGGTCACATGTGCCAGAGTTCCAGGATGTAAAGGGAGATATATAAATCTGTCCTTAGTAAAAAAAAAAAATAGCCACTGTGAGAAGACTGGGGGAGAAAAGAGAAATAAGGTATACAAAGCCTGCAATTATCTAGAATTATGTTTGTAGATTGTCATTACTAAACATTTCTAATGGTGTTTTTTTTTGCCCTTGCGCCCCCTAGCGGGCGTGCGTGGGCAAGATCCCGCTGGGAGTGTGAACAGCTGTTACCGGCCGTTACATACAAGCATTCGGCTGGCTCTACAGCCAGCCGATCGCTTGTATGAGACAATGAAATGTGTATCCCCTCCCCCCCACCGCTGCCAGTTATCCCGGGCTCCGCTGTCCCCCCTGTGAGCCCGGGACCGGCACAGCAGCTGCCTGTACTGCGAAGGAGAGATCAGCATTCTCCCAACGCTGATCTCTCTTCTTCTCTAAAGGCGGAAGCGATGTGTATTACATCACTTCTGCCTTTAGCTGTCATTTCTCTGGCTGCTATAGCTAGGGAAGAAACTGGAGAAGCAGATCTCTGCTTCATCAGCTTCTTTGGGGGTCCTAAGGTGACATTAGGGGTTATGAGGCCCCCACGTGCACGGACATACGTACAAAGGTAAATACGCGTTGGGTGCGCCGTTTTTAGGCATGGTAGTTTTTTGTGATTTCGTCAGTCAAAGTACAAAATGACGTGGCCAGGAAGGGGGTTTAACACAGTCTTCAAGTGGTTAAGATGACCTTGCACCATACAATCTGACTGCAATTTCCTTTAGGACTACTAAGGCTCTGTTCACACCTAGGCGTATCGAATATGCTCGTTTGTCGCGCGTTTTTACCACGATTCACAGTAAAAAACGCACGACAAACGTGCGTTTCCGAGGGCTGCTTGGCTGTATCCCAATGGAAACGCGCTACAAAAACGCCGCACAGAAGCTCATGTACCTTTTCAGGCGTAGGCCGTTTTTGTAGCGCGTCCAGACGGGCTGAAATACGGCAAGGTGTGAACCATACCCATAGAAAACAATGGGATTTTCATGTTTGAGCGTTTTGTAGAGCGTTGAACGCGCTACAAAACGTACAGTGTGAACCAGGCCTTATGACTATGAACTATATGGGCCTAGCTGATTAGATACAAATTGAATGGCTTGTTTGGGTTTGTCTTTAAATACATTGTTTTGGTAAATTATAAAGAGATAGTTTGACTCTACAATAATCCCAATAACCACACACTGAAAATCTAGCACAATTGGTAATCTCGCCTTATGGTGGTTATTATGGTCAAGATGGCTTGGGAACATTAGCATGGAGATTCCCCCCCACCCCCCCTAAATCTA